TTCAGGAGCCTTAAGCTTTTAAAAATCATGTGATTTTTATATGTTACATATAAAATTTTCCAAATTTGATACATATACAGGGTGCAACAAAACTTTTTGGAAAATTTTTCATGCATTTCAAACATTAATAACATTCTGAAAATAAAAACTATTTGTGTCATATTTTGAACACGTGAACAATATGTACTAAACTAAATTAATACATGATTAGATCATTTGTTTTGATTTGATTTTGTTGTAAAATTGTTAACGTAATGTCATCTTCTGATAAAGATACTCAAAGAAAAAGTATATTACAATTGTGACAGAATGGAATAACTTCTGCAAAAGAAATACATTCCAGAACTGGCATTACAATGTCTACTGTCTATTATAATCTTAAAAAATTGAATGAAAAAGGTGTTAATTCGAGAAAATCTGGAGGTGGTTGTCCCAAAAAAATTACTGTGCATGAATCAAGAGCGATTGGCCAATACTTGCACCATGATCCAAGACTTTCCACAAGGACTTTGTCAAACAAATTATCAAACAATATCACCAAAGTGTCTCATATGACTATTTCAAGACATTTGGCAAGTTTAGGCTACAAAAATCATTTGCCTTTAAAGACACCTATGCTTACTGTTGCCCATAAAGAAGCTCGTGTTGGTTGGGCAACAAGACATCTTGATGACAACTAGGAAACCACTTTATTTTCTGACAAAACTGCCTTTCAGTTGTTCAGAAACACAATTACTCAATGGTACAGAGGCGAAAGGCCAGTACGAAGAATCCCCAAAGATTGCACTAAAATCTTTGCATGGGGAGGTTTTTGTATGCAAGGAAAAGGCTCTCTTTTTTGCTTCAGGGGAATCATGAATGCAAATTTTTATGTTGATATTTTGCAAAGGCATAAACAGGAAATTAATAGATTGCTTGGAAGCAATTGATGCTTCCAACATGATAATGATCCAAAGCACACAAGCAGGGTTTGTCAGACATTCCTCAATGAAAATTTTCCCGAAGTTATGGACTGGCCTTCCAATAGTCCAGACTTAAATCCAATCAAAAACCTTTGGGCTATTGTTACCAGAATTAGGATTTAATGCTAATTTGTTAATCGAAATACCCTAATTCCGAACCAAATCTTTTATTTCTATTTTTATTTTATTTACTTTATTTTTATATCTACATTTACTTATTCCTTATATTTTATTTCTTATTTTATTTTTATTCATATTTACTTACATTTTTATTATTTTATTTGTATTACATTTTTATTTTTATTTGTATAACATCGAAATTAGTTAGCTTTGTTAGAAATTAGCATCATGGTTAGAATGTTACATCGCAATTAAAGTGCGATATCGCGCTAGAATGTTAGATTGCAATGAATTAATTTAATTGTATAAAAGAAGCTCAAATTCGACTTGCTTGTAAAATAACTTTGTCTTAAAAGTTTCATAATAAAGATTAATTTGGTAATAAGTTAATAAATTAGTTTTGACTAAGGAAAACTTTGTTTAATAACTTTGTGATAAGTTAATTAGTTTTGACTAAATAAAATTAAATAAATAAAATAGAAATATTTTATTTAAAACTTTTATCTTCTTTAAACAAAATTATTTGCTAATACCAAAATCAATTCATTGATCCCTATTCATTCTGATCCACGCAAAAACAAAATAATTGTTATCACCAATTAAAATATGCTCTCCCAAATTTAATTGGTGACACTATTGTCAAAAGAAATGTAGAAATGTGTATGCCTCAAAATCTTTCAGAATTAGAACAGTACATGACAGAAGAATGGGATAAAATCCCAAATAATATTCTAATCAACCTTGTCAGCTCAATGAGAAGGAGATGTGAGATGATAATTGAGAACAATGGCGAGAGAATAAACTATTAACTTTATATCAATAAAAACTTCAGATTTTAAGCTTTATTTTGACATATTTTTCATTCATTTTTATGTGGTAACTTTTGAGCTATGGACAAATAAAAAATTCCAAAAAGTTTTGTTACACCCTGTATATTACAAATATAAACATATGTAACTGCTTACATTATACTGTTTTAAGATTATTTCAGTTAGTAATTGTTTAGATGAATGTGCAATACTTTTGCCTATAACACCATTTTGATACCAGAGACGAATTTTATTCAGTGTTTCTTTTGTTTTTTACAATTATTACACACAAAGTCAAGGGTAATTAATAGATCACAGTTTATATGCTGATAACATTCTTCTTATTTTCTAATATCACTAAAGGTTGATGACAAGAATCTTCTAATTCATTTCATCTAAGCCACATTCCATGAACCTTTGGTACAATTTTAAACCCTTATTTATGATAATATTGATTAATTAGATATTACATTTAAATAATTAATTACATATGATAAAACATTTATACCTTTAGTTAAAAAACCTTCGTATATTTTCATTTGAAAAAAATTATCAATTATATTTTCAATTTCCTCAATTGTTTGAAATGTCAATTTATCCATGCCAAAATCTCTACCTATTACTATTTTGTGTATAAGTATTGTATCTTTCCATTCAATAATTAATTTTCGTTTAATTGTATCATTATATTTAATTTCCATTAATTCAACACCCCTAGATATTTCTTTGATAATAACTGATGCATATAATGAATTTTCATGAACTCTTTGTTGTATTCGAGTTTGAAATTCTTTCACAGAAAGAATTTCTTTTTGTTTAAAATATTTTTGTTCCTTTTCTCTAAGAATATTACTTATATTAGCAGAAAATGGATCAGGTTTTAAAAAAATTGTAGCCAATGGAGGATGGTTTCCCTTATATAGCTTTTTACTATCTCTTAAAATGAAATCCAAGAAAAAAAAATGTAAAATTTCTTGCCACTTAAGATGTCATTAACATAATAAAGATTGTCCTTTTGGTCGTAAAGAAGTATTTCCTCTTCATGTACATTTGTACAAGGAAAAAAGTATATTTTTTGACTATTTAAATCAGGGTGTAATTGCAGTAATAATTGTAAAGCTTCATTGGTTTGGGTTTCTTATGTTCAAGTTCATTGGTAATATCCTTCAAAGCATGTCCCTATTGATTTTTTATAGTATTGAAAATATGTAATATAAAAATAAAATAAGTAATTATGGCCTGACTATAGCTTACCTTTCTTTTTTTAGGCATTTTTTATTATTTTACAACCTGATGCTCTTATATATTGAAGAAGAAATTTCAAAAAAAAATTTTATATTAATGAATATCTTGGCATATTTGTTCAGACAATTTTTTGTTTTCGGGGGTGTTTTGTTTTCCATTTTTTCAATTTTATTAATAAAACATATAAAATTAATATAGTGGACAGTTTTGGTTTTGCGAAATCATAGTGTGTAACATTCGTATTGAACCCCCTACCTAGTTATTACTTTAAAATATCGCGTGATAATTAATTTGCTAAATTTCGATCCCTGAAATTTCATGATGACATAATGTCACATCTAACCCCGACACCGTTCTAGGGCGCGGTAGTTTGCAGTATTTCCGTATATATTAAATATTGTACCAGTAGATAAGTAATTAGTATATATTGATTCGGGTCGAATCAAGCAAGGAATGATTAGAATGAAAGAACCAAAAATTAGGTGGTTAGATTCAATTCGTATTCGATTTGGTCCGAATTCATTCGGTACCTCCAAGAAATAAATGCTTTTATTCATGGTAAAACATATATTCATAGACGATATAAGCTCCTTCAACAAACGCTCCGTATCCACAAGAAAATTCGTAGTCTTGTAGATGAAGATTGGCAAAATGGTTATTTGAAAACTGTCATGTTTTTTAATTCTCTGGCAAGAAAAATGTTGACCCTCGAAGACAATACAAAGTACATTGTGACATTGGAGCTACACCCGAGTCACCTCTTATAGATGCTAATTTAGTGTAATAAAAAATTTGTGATACAAACCAGCTTGTTTTCAAAAATATAAATAAATTCCTTTTTTAAAAAAATTTATTTTTAGATTCATTCACGAATTTTATTTAGTAAGGTGTACATACTACAAAAAAAAGTTCTTTTTATAGTTTTTTTTTAAATTATATTTTGTATATTGTTATCATTCCCCAATTATAACTAATATTTTTTTTTCCTTCTTTATTTATATACTCGCTTATTATTTTTGTAAAAAATAAAATTATATAATAGAAAAATGGGCATTAAAACAAATTTTAGGAATTCTTTAATTATTTTATTTGTTTTTCTTGTACAAGGTAAAAAGTTCTTTAATATTTTCACTTTTTTTTTTCATTAAGTAAAAATAGGATAATAACGAAAATTTATTTATTTTAGTGATATATGGACAAGTTAAATATTGTGAACAGTATACGCATTATTGCTTTGTTGTTACACCTCCAGGCCTAAATGCTGCATTAGAAGAAAGTTATGTAAACTTTCGCTTGGAAGCTCCAAAAGAGGTTGGGTAAGTAATTGAATGCTTTTTTTTTGGAAAAATAAATATTAAAGGAATGGAAATAATTATATTATAATTTTAGATGGCTTGGCCTTGGTATTGGTGAAGATATGTTGTCATATTTAATTGTAATAATATTTATATTTAATTTTTTAACTTTTAATAAAATAATGCTTAATAAAATTCAGTTTAATGATTTTGATACATTTATTTATTATCAAATAGGTTGCCTGGCATAATGATGCTGAAAACAAAACAATAATATCACAACGTAAAGCAGAATCATATGTAGAACCTAGTCCAACAGAATTTCAAAGTGACCTTATACTTGATCAAGATAATAGTGGAATCATTGGTAACAATTTTGTCGTCAATTTTAAACGTTTACGATCCGTTCAATCCAACACTATCCGTCATAAACAACCTTTCGTTTGGGCAATCTCTTATACGAATCCAAAATCATCCGCTTTTAATGCAACCATTGAAAAACATGATTGGACTGGCCTTACAACATTAAGATTAACACAAAGTGGTCAAACTGACGGTGTTTTGACTACCTATGATAGATATATTATTGCTCATTCTACCTTAATGTTTATTGCTTGGTTTGTCATTACTCCTGGATCAATCTTTGTGGCTAGATTTGGTAGAAACATTTTACCTTCATCTTGGTTCAAAATACATTGGATTGCTCAATTGTTTGTTGCCACTCCCCTTGTAATTATTGGTTTCATCTTACCAATAGTCGCCGTAGCTGGAAATGTTGTTTTTGATGAAACGCATCAGGTAATCAATATCGCACATATCTTGTGGTGGTATTATGTTTTTGCGTTAATAATAAATTTTTTCTCGTATTATTTATAAAAATAGATTGTTGGTTTGACTCTTTTTATTGGCCTATTTGTCCAATTAATCATTGGGGGAGTTCACCATAAACTATACGATCCTTTACGTAATTATACACCTTGGTGGACTCATCTTCACAAGTAAAATAATTTATTTTATATTTATGTGTTTATGTGTTAGCTTTGCGCATATTTGCCAACAACAAAGAAATTTATTAATCAATCAATCCTATAATTAGGTTGTTTGGCAAATTACTTTTCGTCTTGGCTTCATTTCAAGTACCATTAGGTTTAGCACTTTACAAAGCAAATCCCTATTACAAATACATTTTCTACGCTTACTTTTTCGTTCTTATCATAGCATATGGCGTGCTTTCCTTTAAATTATGGAAAAAAAGTGGAAATGTCAATAAAGCTAGTGGATTTAAAAGAATGCCCGAAGTTTCTGATAGACCATAAATATAATATTATTATAAAAAATATGTTCAAATATAAGATTTTTTGGGGGAAATTTTATTATTATTTAATATTGGGGGTTTTTTCATTTTTTTAAAAAAATGATGATCTTTTGAATTATGACATTTATTTTTAGAAAAATAATTAATCGAGTTTCATACATTTCTTTAATAATAATAATAAATAAGTATAATATAAATAAATACATACATACATACACACATAGAATACATGAGATCAGGATAAAATTCTATCAATTATTTTAAATAAATCTGAAAAAATACCAAAGGCCGTTACGCTAGCACCTGCACCTGCACCCTGAATAATTAATGGGTTGGTAAATCTTTTAGTAGTGATTGCAATAATGTTGTCACTACCTTTTAAAGATGAAAAAGGATGAGTTGATGGTAAACTAATGACGACAACAATAAAACAATGAAATTAATATTAATCTATTAATGTCACATCATATTTTCTATATTATAGAAGAAACAAATACCTAAGTAATTTCACACAACTTTGGTTTTTATTAAAATCAATCAAACCAACATATCTTAACACTTGATTCTTGGAATTTGATGAATTGTTTAAATCTGTAAAGTGTTGATCAAATTCTGGCAATTTCTCCAAAAATTCATCAGTAGTAATAACTTTTTGTAATGGTTCAGGTACAATATTTTCAACTGATAATGTTTCTAAACTTAAATCTACTAATCCACAAAATCTACCCAAGATTATAACCTATTATCAATTCATTCATTATTCACGTCGTTTAATTTAAATTATTGATTAGAAGATAAAATCTAATAAAGTTTACCTTGCGAGCTACATCTAATCCATTTAAATCGTCACGCGGATCAGGTTCCTATAATCGAAAGATTTGTTTTTAATAAAGGAAAAATAAAATAACATTTCGAGTGTTAACAAAAATTTTATTTGCGTACGGTATAACCATTTTCTTTGGCGATCTTAACAATATCTGAAAACTTTTTCAATACTTCGTCATTTCCCGACTTTGAAAACTCATTAAAAATATAACTTAACGTTCCACTAAAAATCCCTTCAATCTTCAATATCTTGTCATTAGTTCTAATCAAATCTTTGATTGTACTGATAATAGGCAATCCTGCTCCAACTGTCGATTCATTATAAACAAATTTTTTTGTTTCTTCTGAAACTTTGATTATCTCTTTAAACAAAGCAGTATCGCTCGAAAATGGTTTTTTATTAGGTGTGATGATATGCAATCCTTTTTTAAGAAAATATGGATACTTGTTGGCGATTTCTTGACTTGAAGTGTTATCTACTAGGACAGTCGGAAGGGAATTAGAAGAAAGATAATCAAGGAAACTTTCAAGATTTGAAGATTCTCCTTTATTTTCTAAATCAACCTTCCACGTTGTCAAATTTAAGGGTGCATATTTATCATCACTTAATAATTGTTTTTTGGAATTCTTTAAAGCTACAACTGAGAAAGTAGGTTTTATATTTTTTGATAAATATTCGGCTAATTGAGTAATAAATTCTGAGCCTACAAGTCCTAACCCTATGATTCCAATGTTAATTGACATTTTTTTTTTGATTGATAAGATTTAAATGTTGATCTAAAAAATCACAAAAAAGATGAATTTTAAAAATTCAAAAAAATTTATTAATAAAAAATGTTATATTTCTAATAATGCAACCATTTACAACTTTCATAAGACAAGATTTTCGTTTCATCGAAATGATTATACTCAAATCCAAATTAGGACTCGTAAAACAAAATCAAATAATAATTCGTTATATTCAAAACTGTTTTTAAAAAGACATGATACGGACTTTGATTATTTATTACCAAATCATAATCATAACACACCAACACCACCACACCCACACCCACACCCACACCCACACCCACACCCACACCCACCACCACATTCTCCATCAAGATCTGGCTCTGGCCAAACTCCTATATTTAAATATTTTACCGATCATATTTTGCCACAAATCAAATCCAGTAAAATAGTACAACGTACCTTAGAATTAACAAGGCCGATAGAATGGAATGAACAGTTGTTCAAGGAAATTTTGGCTAGTTTTAAGAAGACAAAACAACTGAAACAATTGAAAAATTCCAGTATTGAGATTGGTATTGAATTACCAGATCATAATGCAGTAGTAAAAAATTTTGTTGAAACAATTAGTAAAGGTGAATTGGATGGGTGTAAAAGTGAACAATTAAAAGAAATATTTATAGAAAATGGTGTGAGTATTCTCTTATTTAATCCAAATTAGTCTAATCGGTGGTATAAATTTTTATGATCATTAATTTTTTTAAAAAAATAGAAGGTGGGAGTAGAGAAAACGTTGAAATCTGCATTTTTGGAATTTTCACAAGATTACATGTCGAATGAACACAAGCAAAGATACAACTCATTGAAACAATTAAGTGATTTAAGTACGCCTATAGAATGGCACCCAGAGGCTAGGAGTATGCAACGGTAAGTTATTGTTTATTTATCATCTAAAATAAATAAACAACTATTTGTTTTTTAGTAAAAGAAAAAACTAATTATATATAAATAATATTTTAGCAAAATAATATTACACGTTGGACCTACAAATTCAGGAAAAACATATAATGCATTAAAATGTCTGGAGACAGCTAAATCTGGAATTTATTGTGGGCCATTAAGATTACTTGCTAATGAGATCTTTGATCGTATGAATAATAATGGAATACCGTGTAATTTAGTTACTGGCGAAGAAAGAAAAGAGTTGGATGGAATTTATGTACCATTGACTTCTTCAACTGTAGAAATGGCTAATTTAAATAGACAATTGGATGTTGCTGTCATAGACGAAATTCA